AGGAATGCCTCCTCCAGTGCGTGGACCCAACGCGGCCCCCTCTGCAGCGAGGAGGCACCACGTGGGGATGGGACCCCAGAGCGGCGCCACCACAGCCCGTGCGGGAAACGGGACCACAGGAGCCCACTGTCAGCCACAGGACAGGCTTTCCTCCTGGGCCTGGATTTAAGCTAAAAGGAAAATAGTATGACAATTGGCAAGTTCTTTCTATTATGAGTTTTGTGAAAAAGTTGTTTCAAAAGAATGAAACAAGTCTGAATCCTTGGTAGAAAAAGAGTAATTTTCTACCAAGAGAGGAAAGCAAAACTGCGATGCCAACGTGCCAAAGCCCTGAACGCACGTCTGACGTGCGGGCACCAACCGCGCACTGGCCACGGCCACAGCCGGCACAGGGCTCCGCTACACAGCCCGGAGACTGGGACGGCAAAAAGTGCTGCACTCCCCAGAATGAACAGCGCTTTGAAACACTTGCAAAATGGTTTGAAACACTCACTAAAATCACAGGGCACGCAGCGACGTCTGCCCACCGGCCGACTCCTGGGGAAGGTGGGCCACCGCGCTTGGTGTGCCACACAAATGAACTGCCACGGGGGCTGTGTATGCGATGTAGTGCTATTTACAAAAAAGAACTTGCTTTCGACAACACCATCAATGCCTTTGCTTAACGGCACACAGGAAAAAGGAGAATAAAACCTTTATTAAAATACATCAAAAGTGCTAGCTAGCTCTGCAGGACAGTCATGGCGAGGGACACGTGGGGCAGTGGCACGGGCACGTGGCACACTTACATTCTGGATGCTGATTGTCAGCTCTGTCTTGAAATCGCTGAAGTCCTTTGCGAGCTCGTAGCCGTGGTGGTAGAAGGTGAAAAGCCCCTGCAGAAAGGCCAGCAGCTGTGTCGGGGTAAAACGAATCGAGACGGTCAGTAGAGACCCACAGACAATTTCAGAGCAACCACGATGTCCCGGGGACGGAGGGGCTTGCTGGCAGTGCCTAGGAAGATGCTCTGTTCCTTGTTTCACTTTCCAAACCTCCTCTGAACTGACCCCGAAGCCAAGTCTGTGCTCCCTTGCCCCAAAGCCAAGGCCAGCCCCCGTCCCAGGATGCCCTGGTCCCCTCTGTGCCCCTTCCCTGCATCACCGAAGCCCTGGGGTCACTGAGAGCGGAGCCGTGAGGTGCAGGGAGGAGCCGGGAGGAAAAGCAGGCAGCCCGCTGCGTTCCCTGCAGTGCACATTACCTTTGCAAAGAGCGGGGGAGGTTTGGCACTTCCCAGAGGAGCTTTAAAGGATTTAGCACCTGAGCAAAGGTAGATCTTAGAAAACTCTTTTTTTCCTATTTCTGTCACTCCTGCACTCTTTCTCCCTTGTGAACCTCACAGTTCTATTTTTTTTTTTCCAATCGAGCCTATTTTTCTTTCAATTGCTGGCAGGCCCCTCAGTCCAGCCCACACGACAGAGATGCGATGTCCACACAATAAAAAATGAACTATGCCAGCGTGCGTGTGGCCACCGAGCTAACAGCTCTGTGCCCCGAGGCTCACACGGGTGCCTTCTCCCCTCAAATCTCCCGCTGAGAGAGGGGCTGTGGGGCTGGGCTGGACCCCCCAGCCATCCCGCCGCAGGGATGCCCCCCGCCACAGCCCCGCTCCCCGCGCGCCCTGCTTCTCCACGCGATCCCCCGTTTTTTGCAGGCTGAGGCGGCTTGAGCGCTCACTTACAGGTTCCACAAACTCGAACATCTTCCTCTCCTGGACCTCTTGCACCTTGAAGACATACTCCAGGGAGACTTCGTAGAAATGCTGCCGAACCAGGTCCACCTGGCTGTCTGCCTGCAAGCGCCGGGGAGATTAAAGAGGAAATATGAAGTTACTACTGACCGGGAGTGCTTGGCCTCGTGACCAGGGACATCTGGGTCTAATGGGAATGTGTCCGTGCAGAACAAATTCAGCTTCAGACCCCAGTCCAGAGCTGGACAGATGGCACAGCGATTAAATATAAACCTGATTCACATGAACAGGCTCTTTCTTCAGCTGAAAAATGACTCATGTTCTCACCTCCCTGACAGCTGTGTAGAAAAGCACGCATTGAAGCGAGAAAAACGAGACGTTGCTGCATGCTTGACAATAAAAGGCAATTCTCTGCTTTCTGGAAAGCACCGCAGCAGGAGCCTGCTCGGAGCGTCCCGGGGCCCAACCAGGCAGTGCACACACACCCCCACCCTCCAGCGACTGTGTCACTTCGGTGGGTTGGCAGAGAGCAAATCCCCTCTGCTTTGACACTAAGGCCCCAGTGAGCAAAACCAGGGATATGCCCCAATCCCAGTACGTAAAAATAACTTTGTCACGTACACAGCAGCTGCACTGAATCTGCAGGGGTATCCCCGGGCTGCCGTCCCCGGCACGTGCTGCTGCTACATCTGCAAGTGACACATTGCACAGAGCAACCCGGGGCATCACAGACACCGGTGGTGCCCACGGGAAGATCGGTCAGGGTGACCCACCATTCCTCTGACCTCAGCACCAGTAAACTCAGCTGGTGAAGAACCTCACCCCCGGCACAAACTGCCATCGAGCCATTGCTCAACAGGAAGCAAATTCTTCTGTCCCAGCCGAGGCCGGCGGGGTGCCCTCGCCAGCGTGACCCTCGCTGTGCCCGGGGCAGAGCCTCCAGGGAGGAGGATACGCCGTGCTGGGCATCCCGTCAGGGCTGGACACACGGCTGCTCCCGCGCTCTGCAAAACCAGCCGGCAAATACCCGCTTGCACTTGAGCAGCAGCTTACTCCTGATTTTTGGCGTGACACAGCCGTGAAATGGCCCGTTTTCCCCGTGACCTGCCACCAGCATTTGTGCTGTGTGCCCATGGTGTGCAGGCTGAGGTATTTAGCAAACTGAGTTCTGAAAAGCAGAAAATATGATGCAATCAAATAACTTTGCCAGGAGTTAGATGGCAGATTAGACTCTGTGTGTTATTTAATTGGTCAACAGCCAAAGCAGCAGAAAATTCCCATGGCTTCCTCCTCTCCCTGCCTCGCCGCAGCAGTTGCACATGTGGCCGGTATCACCCTCCAGATGTAGACAGCAAGAGGAGGTTAGGAAATATAAACCAAATCTCCCAGACACAAACTCTTGTCTCGCAGGACATCAGGGCATCTAGTGAAGCTTCATACTGTTCATAAACGGGTAGAGTTAACGTTCCTAAAACGCTACTATACCTTCCCCGCACACATCTGCCGTGGCTGCAGCCCCCTGTCCGGAGAGCCCTGGGCAGGCAGGACCACAGCGGGCAGCCCCAGCAGAGGTGCTGGACGGGGCGAGCGCTCCCCCACGCCACTGGATGCCACATCCACATTTCACAACCCACGTGCTGGACTGCTCTTCAAAGGCACTCCCTCCTCGGTGGGGCTTGAGCCACCCAAACCAACGTACGCTTCCTGGCGCCCAGGGGAAAAGGCTCCAACGCCTGAACGTGGGAACAGGCGCTACTGGCTCCAGCCTCCTCCCGCCTTCGCAGCAAAAGCCCAAGTCAACATTGAGGTAGAAGATGCCAGCAGATGGCACCAGCAGCCAGCGCTGCTCAACATGCACCAGCAGTTGCATCCCACACACACATACACAGCCAGTGCCTGCATCCCACACCGCATCCCGCACACAGCCACTGCCTGCATCCCACACCGCATCCCGCACACAGCCACTGCCTGCATCCCACACCGCATCCCGCACACAGCCACTGCCTGCATCCCACACCGCATCCCGCACACAGCCACTGCCTGCATCCCACACCGCATCCCGCACACAGCCACTGCCTGCATCCCACACCGCATCCCGCACACAGCCACTGACTGCATCCCGCACCGCATCCCGCACACAGCCACTGACTGCATCCCGCACCACATCCCGCACACAGCCAGTGCCTGCATCCCACACACAGCCACTGCCTGCATCCCGCACCGCACACAGCCACTGCCTGCATCCCGCACCGCATCCCGTACCCAGCCACAGACTGCATCGCATACACAGCCACTGCCTGCATCCTGCACCGCACACAGCCACTGCCTGCATCCCACACCGCATCCCACCACCCCGCTGCCCTGGGGGCCCGGGTGGCCTCACAGGGCCATACTCTGGCCAGAGCACAGGATTACACCTCCAAAAGTCACTGCTACAACCCAAGAGCCACAAGTGGCTCCTACCTCCCCAGAAAGAAATCCTTTCACTCCTATGTCTGACAATAGTATTTCAAACGCAAACTAAACCAGAGCTCTAAAGGGTTATTAAAAAGCCATGAGAAAGGGACTGTTCTTCTCTGGGATGTATGGGTGCTTCCACGCGGTAAGGGTTTTACACCTATGCAAGGACAAAGCTGGCCTGCAGGCATGTCAACCCTGATTCTTACGCCTCTTCAACCCTAATTTGATGGAAGATGATTATTTGTGCCACAGATGCACCTGCTCTCTTGAGCCCCCAACTCTGCTGGGCACCGTACCACCACCTGAGCTATCCCAGTGCAGGAAACACCACCTGTGCCCACCAGTTCCCCCAGAAACGGCTCAGCCACGCACCAGCATCACTCCCACAAGCAAGGACCTGCATCCTGCAGGGACCAGCCCAGCTCTGGGCCAGTGCAGGGAATTCCAGTGATTGAAAACTCAGTGTACTCATCCACTAAGAGCATTTGGCACAGCAGCTATGTCTCGAGTCAGTAATAGGCTCCTAAAGCAGTTTAAAAGCACTAAGCCTGATCACTCCTCCCATGAAGCCCAAAGCCAGTGCAGCCACTTTCAGAAAAGAGAACTAAAGACATCCATGATTCGCAGTGGCACAAGGGAAGCCTGCAGCAGAACCAGTTCCTTTCTGTTTCACTCTTTAATTACAAACTGTCTCTCCTTGATTGCTATCCATTTTGCGATCTCTGATTTGCTCACCAAAACAGCTCCGTCCCCTTTGATTACAGGAAGAGAGGAAAACCCACCACTCACCGCCAGAATGAGGGGAAAAAAACGAGTTTACAGCCAGAAGAACCAACGCTATAAGCTGTGTAAAGCATTCAAAGAGCTCACCACAGTTACCGCTAGACATGGAAAACCAGAGGTTGCTCTCACCTCCTGAAGCTGGGACTCTTTCTTCTTCGAAGACAAGTTTAAGTGCTTTTCTAGGACGCCACAATACTTCTCCGTCTCCTTGTCATATTTCTTTTTGGCATCCTACAAAACAGAACAAAAAGTGACGCTGAACACAATGGCCGTGAGGATCTACAGCATCGTGCAGGGCTGCAAGTACCGGGTGGGAGGTAATGCCCTTCTGCACAGCACGAGACAGGACCAAGGCCCAGGGGCATCAGCTGGAAGCAGGTGACCATCGGCAGCTACAGAAAAGTGGCTTACGCTGCCAAAATCCAAGACTTTGGGGAGCCGCACTATTCCCAGAGCCCAGGGCTCGGCAGAACATCCAGGTCCAGGGCTGGTCCAAAGAGAACACAGCGAGGAGGCGCTTGCTAACCAGCTAAGCAGCACATCCCCACAATTTCACATCCCCTGCCACCCCTTGCAATGGCTTACCCTATGTGTCACGCAGGATGATGACACAGCAACTTGGCTGTTTGCGGCAGAAGTGTTAGAGGATGTCAACCTTAACTCTTTTGCACCTCTCATCCCAGTCTCGCCACCCCAACACACCAGTACGAAACCCACCGCTGACACCCACTAGTAACTGGTTCCTTTCTGAAGGACGGACCCCTTTTTGTCTTTTTTTTTGAGCTGCACAAGCCAGGACAGCCTGGCTGGGCCGGGCTGCACCGGGGTGCTGTCGTGGCTCCCGTGCCAGCGGGGAGCCAGGCACACCGCTGCCATGCAAACACGGCCCCGTCGGGTCGGCATGCGCCTCTTGCAGGCAGCAGCGGGTTGTTATAACAACAAGAGAGCCGCAGACAGTGGTTTTAATTTCAGAACAAAGGCAGGAAAGAAAGGGGGGGGGGCAGGCTGTCTCACAGCTGCCCTCAGCCATATCGGTGCTTCCCCGGGCTCGCCTGTCCTGCCAGAAGCCGTCCAAATTCCCATGCAGCCGCCCAGCGACGCACCGGGGATGGGGAGCGCAGACCGGGGGGCTCAGGCAGCTGGGAACCCCTCTAAGAAAATGCTAATTCTTGCTTGGAGTAAGAAAAAAAAAATTCGCTTCAGCTGGCCCGTGGCACGCTACTTGGTTGTGGGTGAACTTGGAACATGGAGGCACTTTCCCGGGAGCAGCGCAGCGCCTCCTCCCATGCCCGCGCCCAGCAGAGCGCATCCCTGCAGCGCCAGGTCCCGGCCACCACCACGGCCATCACCACGTGGCCCCGGGGCTCTGCTCCGGAGCCTGAGCAGGGGCTGCCAGAGGAGACAGCGACTCGGCGCAGCAGCAGCTTACCTTAGCGGCCCCGATCTGCTCCTTGCGAAACTTCTCCAGCGGCGTGATCAGCACCTCGCTGGCGTTCTCGATCTACGGGCAAAGACAGGCACAACTCACCTTCTGCCCAGCTCAGCGCCAGACACCCGTGCCGCTCAACAGCCTTTCCCATGGAAACCCGCGCGCTTCGCCCCTCGCTCTGCGCTGGCTGTGGCCCAGGGGACACTGAGGGCCTTGTACCAAACCTGTTCCTCACCCAGTGAGCCCCACCAGCACCGGCACTGGGCATTTCCCAACAGCAGGATACCATTACTGGTGCTTCTCAAGTGCACCCCCCACCAATTTCACTCTCCCCTCCCTCTGCTCCCCGCTGCGGCTCTGGCACGGGCACGGGAAGGGGCACTGGGGCTTGCAGCCGTGGGGGCCACACCACCCACCATGGGCAGAGCCACCGGCGGCAGCAGCAGTGCCACCACCCACCCTGCTCCCGGTGGACGGGGCCGTACCATGCGCATCCGCTCGTCCTCCAGGTTCCGCAGCACCGTGGCGAACTCCTGCAGAGACTTGGCTGGAAGAGACACACCCGCACGGTCAGTATTTAACATTTTATTTTCTTTTTAAATTAAAAGAGAGACTGAGCAGGGGTTTTTCGTTTGTTTGTGTTTTGAGGGGGCGTAGGGTGTTGGTTGTATGGAGATTTTTATCATCTTTGCTCTCTCCCCAGAAAGGCTTCCCGTTGCCTACAAAAGCAACTGGTAGCAGAGCATCCCCAGCAGCGTGTTCCCACCTCCAGGGAGAAACACCGCACCATCATCTCAAACCTGCCCTACCCACGGGCCGGCTGCTGACCACCCTACGGCTCAGCACAGACCTCAGCCGTGCTCGGCGCCTGACCACCGGCTCGCCAGCACGAGCATCGCAGCAAGGGGACTTGGATGAGAAAGCTATTTTTGCTGCGAGACTGGGCACAAATGAATAAGCAAAGTTAAACCAGGGCTAAAGCTCATTTGCTCTCCTGGCTCCAGATGATGTGCACGATAAGCTCTAAAAAAGCAGGATAACATGGAGTGAAGCAGCCAAAGCTGCTGCCCGGCACCACGAGAAGCTCTGTGGTGGAACTGGGCTCAATCTGGGGAGCGCTGCCAGGCTCCTGCCGGCACCGCGGGTGCCTGTGGGGCACTTTGCTCCTGCAGAGATGCTGATGCTCCTCTCCTTCAGTTCCCATCCCCTTGCAGTGTATTTAGCCACGACCACAGCTCCAGATCCCTGCTCTCCAGTGCAAAAGGCCCAGATAATCTAGACGGTTTCAGATACGGGCAATCTTCTTCCTCTCCTATCTGGCAGGGATAGATTTAGGCCAAGAAGCAACAACTGATTTCCTTCAGAAGGCTTTGCTGATGCTGAACAGGAGAAATATGCCATTTCCAGAGAGCAGGAGAGCACCCAGGCAAATTCCCAGGCCCCTCGGCATCCTCGTGCGTGTTTCTCTCTCCCCTGTGCCCTGCTCAGCTCGGGGGTCTGGACCTTCAGGGCAACCCCCGGCACGGGCGTCCAGGACTCACCTATGCAGATCTCATCATCCGTTTCAGCATCACCGATGCAGCGGAATTTAAACTCGTTGAGGGAGTCCGCAAACTTGCGCTTCGCTGCTGACAGGTCTGCCAAAAGAGCGGAAGATGGGAAAACGCAGATGTTAGAAAAGGAAAAAGCCCACCAAGAGGATGATGCAGGCGGATGCCTAATCCCAGCCGGCAAGTCCCAATGGAGGGACCCGTCCAACGCGCCCCCCCGGCACCAGGGCAGCCCCAAGAGCCCTGCCCTTCTCCTGCACCCACCCCAGGGACAGGGCTCTGCGGGGTCCCTGCCAGCACCCACCAAAACACACTACAGGAGATGCAACCTCAAAATGCCACAAGAACCACGCAGGAGCTCAAGCCCAGTGCCACGGGGCAGCGGCAAACAGCGATGTAGGGCAGCGCTGCCCCCCAGGAGACAGCACCTCCGCAAGGCTCCCCATCCTGCTGGAGGAAGGCGCCACGTACAGGTGATAATGCAGAGGTTTATTGCTTTCCAAGCTGCAGATTCTCTCCGAGATCTGAATCCTATTAAGTTCTTACTTGCAGTGACCTGAGCGGATCCAGGATTGGCCTTTCAGACCAGCCCCACAACCCCGTGCACGCAGACACACACGCTCCCGGGCACTGCGAGGCCGCCGGCGCAGAGGGGAACTTGTACTTGAGCAGCGCGAGGGACTGCAGGCACACAGGCGGCGTTAGGAAGACGTAACGCTAATTCCCTTGCGCATTTCTTCACTCAAAGTCCAAAAATTCAGTGGGTTTTTTTTTCCTTTCCAAGCACAGGTGGAAAACATGCGTGCGCACACAAAGGCCGTTTCCTGCTCTGACACCAACAGCCAAAAGATAACCGCAAAAGAATTCAAGTGTTTTGCTTTCCCTGCGGGATAAGAGAATTTAAAGCTTTCTCTGAGCATTAAAGCTGCTCTCTGAGTGTCTCTGCTTAGAGCCCTGGGGCGAATCCTGCCCACAGCTCAGTCCCGGCTGCCTTCACGCAGCGGGTGCAGCTCGCCCCACTCTCCCCCACGGACCCGCGCTGCTGCCGGCCGTGGCGGGGCAGCCCCCCTTCCCTCGCCGGGGCAGCGGGAGGGCTCGGGGACTTAACTCGCTCCCCAGAGCCGGGCGGCCTCCTGCCTCCTCTGGAACAATAATGAAGATGACGTTAATGACTTAAGGAGCGATTTCCTCTGCCTTGGCTCCGTGCTGACCGTCAGCCACCAGCCCCGCTCTCGCCGATACCCAAAAAAAAAAGGGGGGAAAGGAGATAATTCCCTGTGCGACAGCGATAAAGGAGGATCGCTGGCGGCCGCTTGCTGAACGACACGGCCGAGTCGCAGGAGCGAAGCAGATCCTAAAATTAGCAGCAGGCTTGGCCAGAAAAGGAGAGAGGGGCACCCACACCCAGGCCCCCATCGTCCTCCCTGTGCCACCAGTAGACCCGCTCACACTCCTGACATCCCGTCTTCCTGAAAGCTTGAACCTCTCATCTACACTTTGGGGAAAAGCGCCTCCAACAGAAGCAGCCAAAGCTCCTGGCTGCGCTGCGGGCAGGGGTACACGGGGAAAGCGGGGTGGCCCCTCCATGGGCCAGCTCAGCTCCTGAGGCTTCTTCTTCCCCAGGGATGTGGATGAGCAAACCCAAAATCCTACAAAGGCTTGACAGAAACTTCTGCTTCCTCTTGAGCACGAGCAAAACCACCCAGACCCCGCACATGAGTCACGGCCGGGCTGCGCCAAGGGCTGTGAAAGTTTTGCTTCCAAGTTCTCCGGCTCACTTCATCAGTCAACCACAACATCAGAGAAAACCACCACAAAGCCAGAAAAATCCTTCTGCCTGAGCAATGCGACAAGCTCGGGGTCCGGGCACCATGCATGGTGGTCCTGCACGGGGAGGGGGTGGCTGGCCGGGATGGATCCAGGGATGCACAGGATGCACCGAGGCTGCAACGTGCCTGCGGGGACAATGCAGCGGTGCCCAGCCCAGGGGTGCCCAGAGGTGGGCGCGCAGCCTGCGGCGCTGCTGCCGATGACTCCTCCCTGCACCCATCGCCCCATCGTGCCTCATGGCTGCAGCACAGAGCACTGAAGGCCTCCACGGGCAGCAAGGAAAGCGCGACGTCTGGCAGAGGCATCCCAGGAGGTGAAAACAGCCCTGCACAACTTGCTGAAACACTGGGAGGGTGAGCAGTGGCCCCTGCCACCCCAGGGCTGCAGCCATCTCGGGAGGGTCCGGGGTGCCGCCGCTGTGGAGCCATGTGCCTGCCTGGGGCCAGCATCCGAGACAAAACCACACGGAGAAGGCATCGGCCAAGCGGCAGCAAAGCAGCCCTCCATCCTACCGGCAAAGGAACACCCGCATACCTGCTAACGCAGCCCGGGCTCCTCTGCCCCACACACCGCAGCGCACGGTGAGCGTACCTGAATTACTGCCTCCGGTCAGTACACGCTGTGCTCAAGTACCAGCTACACTGCCTTCGGAAGCCCCGCCATGCCCTCCCCTCCGCTCCAACGCAGGACCATCCTGCCCCACAGCCCCCACCACCATGACTCACTCCTTCCCCCTCTGCAGGCTGACCGTCCCGCAGCGGGGCTGCTATGGCAGTCCTCCTCCTCCTCGTCCCTTCCCACGGCTCCCCGTGCACACCCCCGGCCTGGCGGGGACAGGACGATCCCTTTGGAAAAGTCCACTTGACAGAAAACAGGCACACGCACCGCGTGCCGGAGGTCCAGCTGCGTAGCTACAGCAACCAACAATCAAAATATAATGCCCTTTGAAAAATGGTGTATGGGCTCGTTACTGCGATACAGCGTTACCCGCTCGACCGTTTAGGGGAGCAGCCCAGCAGCGCTCCCCTTCCCAAGCGCTTTCCCTTCCTGGAAGAGGGTTTATGACCTGAACCAGATGCAATGGAGGAGAAAACTGCAGAGGACAGGGACAAGTGATGCGGAAGGAGATGTGACCTCGCAGAGAGCAGAGGTGCCGGCAGGGGCCTGTCCTGGCGAGGGGGAAGTTCATAGAATTACAGAATCACAGAATGGTTTAGGTTGGGAGGGACCTTAAAGCCCATCCAGTGCCCCCCCCTGCCCTGGGCAGGGACACCTCCCCCCAGCCCAGGTTGCTCCAAGCCCCGTCCAACCTGGCCTTGAACACCTCCAGGGATGGGGCAGCCACAGCTTCTCGGGGCAACCTGCCCCAGGGGATCACCGCCCCCACAGGGAAGAATTTCTTCCTCATATCTCATCTCAATCTCCCCTCTTCCAGTTTCAGAGTTGGAGCTGAACTCCAAGGTCTGATCCTATCCTTCCCAACAGCAGATCGGAGCGCAGTGATCGCAGATGGAAGGAGGTGGCTGGGTCCCGCCACCCACCCTTCTCATCCCGAAAGCACCCGGCATCGTCCATCCGTCTGCTCGTCCGTCATGGGTGCCTCCTAACACCACAGCACCCATCCCTCGCACAGCAGAGACACGCTCAGCATCCTCACCATCCAGCGCATCCTCACCACCCAGCGCATCCTCACCACCCAGCGCAGGACCAGCACGGAGAGGGGATGGCTCCCAACAGGGCAGAAGGCAGCTGCCCATACCAGGATGCAGCCCCAGTTAACCTCTTTGCCAGTTCCTCCTCCCTCGTGCCCGGCTCAGGGGTCACCCCACTTCTCCCCTGGTACCCCACCTCTCTCCTTGTCCCTCCACCAGCCAGGGAGCGGGTAACTGCTGGCTGAGGTCCCATCCCAGCCTTACACCTCCAGGCACCGGGGTCCCTCCAAACCCAGCTGAAGCCCACATTACTGCAGCCCGCAGCAGCCCTGCCACCCGGGAACCCATCGCACTCCCGCTGCCTGTCCTCCTGGCGTCCTTCCTCCTCCTCCTCTTCCTCGGCTATTGAGAGTTAAATCTTCTTTCTGGGAAGCGACTGCTGTTACTGCAATTAGACTGAAGTGGTTGTTTTTTTACACAAAAGTCTCCCTCCAAAGGAATTTGGAACTATTGAAAAAGGACGTTTATAGAAGGAAGATGTCATGATTTCACAACCCTTCTCCATGCGTACAGCACCCTGGGCGCAACGGGGACGACCCTGTCCCAGCCAGGTCCGCAGCCAGCGCCACAGAGGGACAGCCCCCACACGCAGGTCTCCCCCACGGGCACACCGCACGGGACGGGGCAGCCCCGCTCCTCGGGATGCAGGCGTCAGGGCTAACGTGTCCCCGGTTCAGGTGACTCAGCACACGATGCTTCAGCCACTTTGGGGCAGTCACTGGCACAGCAGCCCTGCCACGAGCTGCTCTCTCCTGATCACCTGCTTCCAGCTCTTTCCCCAGTTTTATTCTTCAGCCGGACATCTCACCCCTGCGCAACACCCCTATCGCCCCCTCTCTTTGTGTTCAGTGTTGAAAACATTTTCAGGCTTTCCCAAAGGGACCACAGAGATAAGGTGTGCCGAAACCTGAAAGCCGGGGCAGATGTACAGCAGGGAGCTTTCCCCTTAGATCAAAATTTATAAGGGGCTGAGAAGAGATCGCAACTCCTCCACCTGCGTGCTTTTCCTGGCTGGGATGGGCAGCTGGGAAACGCGACCACAGGACACAGAGAAGAACCATACAACATCAAAACGAGACATCAAGAAGACAGACGTCCCTCCTGCCCGGTCTCACTGCCCACTTGGGAGCGTGGTCCCCCGGCCCCGCAGAGCCCGTCCCAAAGATCAGGTTGGCCAGGGA